CGTGAAGGTCTTCACGGTCATCCTGAGGTGCCGGGCCTCATCCGACTGCCTGGGCACAAGAGCTCCCACCGCAGAGCAGGCTCCACTGCAGCCTCTGCACGGGGAAAAACACACAAGCAAACAGAGAGTCTCTGGCTCACACTTTCATCCTCAGTTGGCGTTAGACCAGGCTGAAAAGGGAATACAAAAAGCCAATCACTCGACCCCAAATCCACGTCAATCGCAAAAGTTACCCAACCAGCTAATGAACGTACTGTCGTCGAATGTACTGTCGTGAACGCACTCCACCACCGAATGTTCTTCATATCAATTAATTTTATTTCTATTGTGCACTCTGATCAAATATTCTTATAAAAGCCTATTACAAACAATTATACGATTTTAAGAATGGCGTTTATGCTTTTTGGCCGTAAGGGACATGGCTATCTGAAATAGCAAAAGCATGGCTTTCTCTCACAACTACAAGGAGGGTTTGACATCTTGATCTGGTACAAATCCTCCATGTTAACCAAGAGAAAACCAATCCCAAAGGAAGCCTGGGTGACGGTAGTGATGAAATTCCTTTCCTGTCAAGACCTTGAAGGTTGACATTTGTGGTGGAATGCTAAGGGATGGTCCATTGATTTTGATGGCAGACCTTTAAAGGATGATTGAACAGCTTTCCGAACATTTTTTCCAGCATCATTTTTTAACGTTGAATTTGGGGTGGATTTGATAGAAAGAAGAAGAAGGAAGATTTGGAGGGATGAAACCCTCTTTTAAACAGGTCCACACATGCCAGAGCACACAGCACACACAGGGTGTTTCTCTATCGCGAGTAAAGCTTGGCTCCAGAAGCCACTCCAGAGCCACTATTTTCAAGCATACTACGTCATCGAAGTGCCGCCAAGTGCTGTTCCATATTCCAGCATACTTGGAATTCTAACCGAGCCCCGGGCATACCTTCGTTTTGGAGGAAATCTTGAGGCTGCACATGGTAGACTCCGCGGTCTTAAAATCCCCACAATGCTTTGCGGCACGGACCAATTTCCCCAAATCTGTGGCGGAAATGAAGCGGCGGGCCTCTCATATGACGCCACACCTGCACACTTGCTAGCCTGTTCCACTCTTTGTTTTCCGAATGCAGGAAGTATTCTTGCCTCGCTTCTGAAGCAAGACGCTCGGAAGACATGTGCTACCAAGCAAGCGTACTCGACATTGAGAAACACCCACAGTGACATGTGTTCTCTGCTTTTAACCCATCCTAGTACCAGGAGTCTAGTACTAGGAGCAGTGGGCAGCTAAAGGGCGATGTTCGGTGCCTTGCTCAAGGGCACCACGGCAGGGCAGGAGGTGAACTGGGACCTCTCCAAGTAGCAGTCCACACTCCATATTTAGGTCTGGTCGGGGACTTGAACCGGCGACCCTACGGCTCACAGTCCAAGCCCCTACTGACTGAGCCACTGCCGGACCTGTCGCTAAACTATACTGTACTAAATACTGTTGTAACTTCAATCAAACCCACATCTTTATTCTTGAACACTTTATGCAGTGACTGGCAAGGTGTGCGCAGTGAGAAAATAAGCAGCGTTTTAGTCTTAGTAGTCTATTTCAGTCACTGTAAAAGCGTCACTTTGAATGCGTTCCAGGAAGAACTGACTGAAAATGTTTGCCATTAACTTCATATTTCAATGAACCACAGAAAACAGGAGTCTTGTACCTCATGTACTTGTTCCTGCAGGTTTCAAGGAACTTCTCCAGCTGGGTGGGGGTTATGCGGTCCAGCTGATAAAGCACTTTTGGCTGCACAACAAAAGGTGGGAAGACAAGCAATGAAATACAGATGTAGTTGAAGGACATTGCTGTATTAAACACATTCATTAACAGTGTGTGATGCCAACCTCGCTGGTGCCATTGTCGTTGATGCCGTATTTGTCTCTGGTCTTTTTGATCCGTTCTGAGATGTTCTTAGCAAATTTCCTTATCTCCTACAGTTCAGGGAAGACAATTCAGCAATGTCAGAGGATAATCTCTGAATAAAAACAATTACCCAAGTGTGTGCTGCTTGAAACGATACACTGTCATGCAGTTGTTAGAAATGACAGTAAATCAAATGCAAACACCCAGTAGTTCACATTGAACCATCTCTTTAAAAATAAAACATCAGCAGTGTTTTAAAGAGAGCACTCAAAGCTTACAAAATCAGCACAAAAAAGGCAACAGTGGGGTAATTGAGTTATTATCAATCTGTTTGAGTTCGTGCTGACACGCCATTCCTCGGGTCGTTAAAGCACACTCCATCATGCTCGGTCACTATACCTCCAGGTACTTCTCTGAGCCTGTCTCAGTTAACTCCTTCACGAAAGGGGGGAAAGGTTCACATGAATTACTCCCAGCTCACCAATTATCTGCATGTAACTGGCTTTGACCTCACATGATTAAATGTTGACGCTAAGAATTTAATCCAAGGCAACCGTTTTTCTAAAGGCCGCCTAATAACCTTTCACAAGCCGTCCTCATTAGAGCATACGGTCAAAAGCAAACACTTTAATTTATGTTTTTGTGCTTATGAATGTTTGCTGACCGAGGGAGGTGTAATGATTATTTCTCTGCTTTGTCTACTAGAGATGTAATGATCCATTTTAAGATGAAGTGTCAATAATCTATTATCATTGTGAAATCTGGCACTTTATAGTGAACAGAAGGTTTATTTTGAGTCTTTCAATTAGAAGATAATACCCTTTTCAAATAGAGAAATCCTATTCAAATTGCTTTAGGGAGTTGATATAAATGTAACTGAATCTGTTAAAAGACATGATATAGACAGCAGCCCTGAATTAAATTGAAATATTTGTCAACCTTTATAGTTCCAGAAAATAGTATTTTTTTAAAAAACCGTTAAAATATTATATTATGATGAAACTTGTGCTTAATCCAGTCATCACTTCAGAAAACAAATATACAAAAAAAAAACTAAAAAGGACATGAGTTGAAGGTTGCTTCACTGTTAGGATACACCCGACATCCTGTGCCCTTAAAAACAGGTGGACAACAACATTGATTCTTCATTGTCAATTCCTTAAGTATCCTTGTGTTGTATTTGCTGAAATAATTGTTGTGTTTCCTGCAGCAGGAAGGTCTTCTTTTGCATGGCATGTTTATCAAGGAACAGGAAATGCTATATTATTATAATATATTCTAAAACAGCAAGCAAGATTTATCAATCCTTGTGAATTTAAAAGCATAACATCACAGCTTTATCCTTAAATCCTGTACACTGAAAGTTCAACATGTTAAATCTCCTTTCACTTTATGAGTGGCTCTGCTCTGGAGGAAGCACATTGTGCAAAAGGTATTCATCATTATCTTCTCTAAGGAGGTAATCTTCTCGGCCTTGTCCATTTTTAAGTGGGTCTGTCAAAAGCCTTCACTTAGAATAGATGGTTTATAATCACTAAATGGAGAAAAAAAAACCTTGGAGAATTGTTGATGCAGATGCAAATCTTTGATTGAATTTCTTAACTTTCTCACCCTTTTTGAACATTTTATGCATTTCCTCATGAAGTCGTAAGCTTAGAATATTAACATTGCTGAAATAAACATTTGTGAGATTGTTTATCAATGAAATAAGCTGTGAGCTCTAACAAAGAGTGCTTTGTATTTCTAACGTTCCTGCTACTCTACACTTCTAAGAAGGGAACCACTTTAGCTACTTTCATTTGGCAAGCTGTGTGTCCAATTAACCGCTTATCCACGATGGGAGTGAAGGTGAACAGAATCCTAAAGTTTAGAGCACTTCTAAGTGCTTTTCAGAAATATAAAAGAAAAATAGAACTTTGAAAGAGAGCACACTACTGTGATGAGGTTACCTCCAGGAAGACGTCTCTGCAGCACAGGAAGTCGGTTCTCTTCATGATGGCGTCAGCGGTGAGGACCAGCTCGTTCTGACTGAGCGCGGGCTCCTTTGGACACGCATAGATCGCCTTAGGGGAACAGAAGGGGGTCGTTAGGAGGGAAATGCACTCAACAGTTCCTGATAGCTTCCCCACTCGAGGGTTAACAGCTCTTGAAGCATCTGAGACCACTCTGACTCCCAGCACAATCTCTTGGTTATGAGAGTGCATAACGAGTTGCAGTAGTTCTGATTACATCTTCAAATAATCATTATGATCTCAATTCACTGGAGCTGTTTTCTTTAAAAATGTATATAGGGCTACAAGCAGTGGCGACTGGTCATTAGGGGCAGGTACAGGGACAGCCCCACCTAGTGTCAGCAGAAAGTATTAAAAATAATGATTACAAAAAAAAAATCTATATACAGTGGGGCAAAAAAGTATTTAGTCAGCCACCAATTGTCCAAGTTCTCCCAATTAAAAAGATGAAAGAGGCCTGTAATTTTCATCCAAGATATACCTCAACTATGAGAGACAAAATGAGAAAAAAAAAAA